TCAACATAATATGTAATGATATACAAAATAACAAAATTCCCACATGCCCTCCAACCATACATCTCTCTGAGTCTTCATGGCTGAGTGCCCTTTACCCATTGTTCTTCCTTGACCTGGGAGGGACCTCCCCAATTAGAGCATCCGACATCATCCCAGGAACCAGAAAGTTAACAATGATGTGACACTGTCACCTCGTTTGTAGGTCCTATTTCAGTCTTTCCACTTGCTGGATGTATTAGGCAGTTTGTTGCAGTGACAGGAGAAAGCTGACCAAAAGGAAGCTGGGGAATGTTCTAGTTTGCTTTCAAGTGCTATGGCAAAATACTCTGACCATTGCCAACTTGGGGAGGAAAGGGTTTATTTGGCTTACATCTTGTGGGATACGGTTCATCATGAGGGGGGTCCAAGGTAGGAACTCAGGGCAGGAACCTGGAGCACAGGCCATGGAGGAACGCTGCTTACTGGCTTGTCCCTCTGGCCTGTGCCCAGCCTGCTTTCTTACACAGCTCAGAACCACCTGCCCAGGGGTGGCACCACCCACAGTGGGCTGGACGTTCCCATATCACTCAAAAATCAAGAAGATGCCCCACAGACATGGCCACAGGCCAGTCTGATAGATGAAATTCCCTAGCTGAGGCTTCCTCTTCCCAGATGTGTCAAGTTGACACTAAAGCTGTCCTGCAAAGGCAATATTATCATGGTGGGGAACATGTGGGAGAGACAAGAATCTCACTTCACGGTGGATGGAAGGGAGAAGGGTCTGGGGACAAGATAGACCCTTCGGAGGTGAGCCCTCAGTGTCATGGGTTACCCATTGATGAAATTGGTGCCCTTATGACGCAGTTACCTCCCCATCAGTCAACCGTCAAGTCTTTAATACATAAGCCTTGTAAGGACAGGCTTTGGTTTAAACCATAACATCCACTCATGTCCCTTTCCTGGTTGTATGTCATGCGTGTTAGCTGTCCTAACTCACTGGTGCCTTCCAGTCTGGGATTATTCAACCTCAAATCCCAATTTTTGGTGACAGTAAAGTTTTTCAAGCTTTAACACCTCTCCCATACCCCCTAAGCTAACATGCAGATCCATTTGAGTTTATTGCATGTGTGTTCAAGCACCCTACAAATAAATATAAAATAGCTAAATTTAAGTAAATAAAATCACACTTAAATGTTGTATAGACAGTGGAGTATTCAGCCATTAAGAACGAAATGATGCCATTTGCAGGAGATGGTGGGCTGGAGATCAGGAAGTAAGGCAGATGCAGCAAGACATATACCTCATGCTTTATTACATACGCAGAATTTAGATTTTAAAACCGTGTATCTGGAGCTGAAGAGATGGGTCTGCAGTTAAGGGCACTTGCTGCTCTTCCAGGGGCCCTGAGTTTGGTTCCCAACATCCACATTGGGCAGCTCACAACCACCTGTAACTCCAGCTCCGGGGGATCCAATACCCTTTCCTGGCCTCTTGGGATGCCCAACGCATGTGGCATATACATACACAGACATACATGTAAATAAAAATAAAAATAAATCTTTAAAGAAATATTTAAGTGAAATAAAAGAAGCCGTTCTTGAGGCTGCATAGATCTACCCTTCATGAAGATGCAGTAGAAATTATTCAGTCAGATCTTCTCCTAGACACATTGATTTTAAAAGAGCTGAAGATGACAGAGGAATCCAAAAATAGACATTTTAGAGAACTGCCTCAAAGGGGAGCAGCTTTTGTATTGTCACTACAAATGTGAGAAGCCCCAGTGACTGCTGGGGTGATGACCCACAGGTCCCCGGGCCTCAGAATCCGTAGGACTGAGACCTTGGGGAGACTAATGTCAGCCTGGCTTTCTAGAAATGGACTCGCCACTACTGTGCCATTGCTGACGCCAAGCTGTCCTTTAGCGATGACATTGAACAGAATGTGGAGGAGGAGCTGGTTCAGGTAGGTGGAGACTCACATACCCTTGACTTCTGGAGTGGGGCTCTTCCAGGGAACACCTCCAGGAGACTTCCTCTGTGGCTTGTCTTGTTGGGGTCCTGGACATCAGTGTTAAGGAGCTGTTGCTTTGGGTGCTAAAGCTTTAGCTATAGCTCTTCTTGATTGGTTACCCTGGGGCTTAACCAGTAAGATTGAAGGCGCTTTCCTGCGCTCTGTAGTGAGGAGATGGACTCTCCCTGCCCTGCCCTGCGCCCTCCAGCTGCTGCTCATCTTCAAGTGCAGCCCAGGATGGTTTGGCCCTCAAGCTTCTGGTACTGGGGACCTCTGATCCCCTGTCTTAGGATCCAGTAAGCCACCATCAATGCGAGCTGTCAGGAGAAGGTTGCAGCAGGCAGGGGCAGTGGGAGCTATCACAGCCCCTCACTGAGCTCTTTTGGCCCAGGATACTCCCCCTACAGAGCTGCATTTTGGGAAGAAGTGGTTCCATAAGAAGGTGGAGAGGAGGACCAGCGCTGAAAAACTCCTGCAGGAGTACTGTGCCGAGATGGGGGCCAAGGACGGCACCTTCCTGGTGCAGGAGAGCGAGACCTTCCCCAACGACTACACCTTGTCTTTCTGGTAACCTCACTTCCCCCGTCCTCTGAGGCCGGCAGATGGGAGGCAATGTGGTCAGGCCGCAGCTCCAGCTGCCTCTGGTGAATCCCTATTCTGTCCCTGGCAGGCGGTCAGGCCGTGTGCAGCACTGCAGGATCCGCTCCACCATGGAAGGCGGAACCATGAAGTACTACCTGACAGACAACACCATGTTCAACAGCATCTACGCCCTCATTCAGCACTACCGGGAAACACACCTGCATTGTGCGGAGTTCGAGCTTCGGCTTACCGACCCAGTGCCCAACCCCAACCCGCATGAGTCTAAGCCGTAGGTTCCAGGGTTGGGTGAGAGGCATATGCACATGGGTGACATCCACCAGGGGGTGATATGGGGTTCCTGTTCCCAGGATCCCCTTCACCCAGGGTCCCTTGAAGTCTGAGAATTCCCTGGACCACCACTGGTCCCAGTTCTGCTAGTCAGTACTTTGGTGTCTTTCTCTCTTGTAGCCGCCATGTGGGTGCTGGATTTGAACCCAGGTCTTCTGCAAGAGCAGCCAGTACTCTTAAACACTGAGCCATCTCTCAAGCCCTCTCTTGATTTTTAAGACATTTATATTTTATATGTGTGTGTGTGTGTGTGTGTGTGTGTGTGCGTGTGCGTGTGTGCACATGAGTGCAGGTGCCCACAGAGGCCAGAAAAGAATGCCAGGCCCTCTGTAGCTGCAGTCAGTTGTGAGAGACCCTTCATGGATGCTGGGGAATGAACTCAGGTCCTCTCTAAGAGCTGTATGTGCTCTTAACCACCGAGCCATCCTCTCCAGCCCCCCCGCCCCATTTTCTTTTCTCCCCTCCCTGTCTCCTTTCCCTTCTTCATGATCCTGAGGTCTGGGGCACCTTGATTTCAGAGGCTGGGTGTGCTGGATAGCTTTAGTTGGCAACTTGACACACCTGGGTTGAGGGAGCCTCAATCGAGGAACTGCCTCCATTGGACTGGCCTGTGGCCATGTCTGTGAGGCATTTTCTTGATTGTTGAGGGATGTGGGAGGGCCCAGCCCACCATGGGTGGTGCCGCCCCTGGGCAGGTGGGCCTGTATTATATAAGAAAGCAGGCTGAGCAGGGGCCAGGGGAGCAAGTCAGTAAGCAGCGATGCTCCATGGCCTGTGCCCCAGCTCCTGCCTCCAGGTTCCTGCCATGAGTTCCTATCTTGAGCTCCCTGATGAACTGTGACCCAGGAGTTGTAAGACAAATAAATCCTTTCCTCCCCAAGCTGGTATTGGTTAGCGTGTTTTGTCACAGCAATGGAGAAACGAACTAGGACACTGTCTGCTGATCTCTGTTCTCAGAGTGCCTTCCTGGGGACTGGACAGTGAGGAAGGGAAACAAAATAACTGGAGGGGTTGAGTCCTTTCATTGCTTTATCAGTGAGGGGAATTCCAAGTGATGCCTGGTGAAAAGGTTAACAGTTCTAGAAACGCTGGAGCGGTTTTTCAGCAGATTGCTGCCATCATTTGTGTTTTGGAGGAAGCTGGATGATTTATAGTGACTTTGTTCTCTTACATTTCCTATCTTTTCATGTGGTAACCTTTTCGAACTTGCCATCTCATAGCTTAAAAAAATTATGTATTATTTTTAAATATTTTTGTTTTGTTTTATGTGCATCAGTGTATTGCCTACATATATGTAAGTCCACCTTTGTCATGCAGTACCCACGGAGGTTCGAAGAGGTTGTCAGATCCCCTGGAACTGGAGTCATGGGTGGTTGTTAGCTACCATGTGGATGTGCTGGGAATCAAACCTGGATCCTCTGATAGAGCAGTCAGTGCTCTTAACCATTGAGCCATCGCTCCAGCCCTGCCATTTCATATCTTAATACCCCCAAATCCTTCCAGAGCTCACCTGTGTTCCCTGCCTTAGATATCCCAAGACACTGCTGTAACTCTGCTACCCTTCAGGGATGGTTGGGTGGGCAGAGATACAGGAACTGACTCTCCTGTGCTTCCTGTAGACTCCCTCAATCTCTTGAGGTCCTTATCAAAAATTGCTTTCCCCCAGGCATGGTGGCACAGGCCTGTGATCCTAGCTACTCGGGAAGCTGGGCTGCAGGATGTTTGCAAGTTGAAGGCCAGCCTGCGTTATATAATAGCAAGCTCAAAGTTAGCCTGAAAAACTTAGCAAGACCCTGTCTCAAAAATGAAAACTAATTTTTCAAAAAGTAGCAGAGATTGTAGTTCAGTAGAGTTCTTGCCTAGCACGTGACCTCACGTGACCTCATGTGACCTCAGATCCAATCCCCATACTGTAGTACATAAAATAAAAATTAAATATAAATTGCTGTCCTTGGAGCATGCGTGGCCAGGAAGTCCCAGTGTGATTTCTGTGGCTGTTTCGAGGCCCAGTCGCGGGTGTCCCAGAATCTCAAATCTCAGTACCTCCCCCACAGTGGCAGGTTTACAGTGGGGAGGGCTCTCACCTGCCTGGTTTTTCTGTTCTGGATGCAGATGGTACTACGACAGGCTGAGCCGGGGGGAGGCAGAGGACATGCTGATGTGGATCCCCAGAGATGGAGCCTTCCTCATCCGGAAGCGGGAGGGGACTGACTCCTACGTCATCACCTTCAGGTAGGCCGGTGCCATGGTGTGTGTGGGGTTCGTGCTCCCCAGAGGAGGTGTAAGAAGGGAAGGGGGGGACCTGCTCCACTGTCAACAGCAAGGATGCTGGTAACAGCAGCTTGTGCGTCTCAAGTGCCAAACAGTGTTCTCTCCGTCCTCCCTGTATATTAACTCACTTCACCTTCCAGAAGCTCTAGGGTAGAGGTGTGACCACCATCGTTATTTTCTTTATATATTCTAAAATTTATTTATTACTGTGTGAGTATATGATGTGTGCGTGGGCCCACCTGTGTCATGGGATGCATGTGGAGGACAGAGGACAGTTTGTGGAGTTGCTTCTCAACTTCCACTTCCACGGGTTCTAGAGTTCGAACTCAGGCCATCGGGCCTCTTGTGTGGCAAGTGCTTTACTCAACGAACCATCTTGCCAGCCCAAGCAGGAAACTGAGGCTCAGTAAGGGTCAGTTACTTGTTTATGCCTCTGGGGGTGCTGGGAATTGAATCCAGACAGCCCAGATGTGGACACCTCCCATCAGCACCAGCTGCCTTGCCATCCTCTAGACAGGTGGGATTTCACTCCAGCACCCAGCAGTGACAGTGGAGGATTCGTGGACTGTCCCCCTTCCCTACCTGGGTCTGGGTGTTCTGCTGGTGGCTGATACTCTGTCTTCACTGCAGAGTCTCCTGCCAGAGGCCTGGGGTGGGAGGGAGGGCAGCTGAGGCCTGTGGAGGTCTCCAACTCAGCCTGCCTGGTGATGTGAAAGAGCGAGACGTTTGACTCCGAACTTCATACTGTGGGAGGCAGTGGCAGCTCTGAGCCCATGTGTCTTATGGTAGCAATTACCCGACGTGCAGTGGCTGCCTGGGGTGCCCAGCTTGCTCCTGCATCCCCTCCCCACCCTGTTGCCTTTACTTACCTGTTGACCTGCACCTCTTGCTTTGGGCATTTCCTCTCATTGTGTGTATCCTGCCTGGTCATTGTCACCGCAGCTTGCTGAGGACCTACTGTGGGCCAACTCTAGCCAGAGAGGACTGTGTCTATGTGGCTCTTCTGTTCTTGGTTCTGCCAACAGAAGGGGCCTGGGCGTCTTTCGTGTTTTGCCCTTGACTTTGCTCCTAAAACTCTGAATGACATCTGCTCAGCCTGGAGAGGAGTCAGTGAGTTCGGTTTGTGGGTGTGTTGTGAACATTGCCTGTGCACCTGGCTCCAGGCTGTGGTTGGAGACCCAACTTTTACTGTAGTGTTGACATTTGGGATACTTTTATGTGTTGGTGACAAAACCAGATTCAACTGGCTGAAATACAAAGGGAAATGATGTGTCACTGCAAGGTGGGGGACTGAATTCAGCACTGCCTAAAGTTCTAGCCTCCTGAGGGTCCAGGATGCTCTGGTGCACACTGGTCCTGTCCCGGCCTTGCTGCTCAGGTGGGACAGCATGCAGCTGGCTCTTATTTTGAGGTAATGTTTCATTGTGGAATTGATTTCCATTTTTTAGTGATGTTGAACATTTCTCATTTACCTGTTGGCCATTTGTATGCCTTTTGAGAAATATCTATCAGAAACTTTGCCCATTTCCATTCAGGCTATTTTTGTCGCTGTTAAGTCACTTGAGTTCCTTACAAACTCTGTTCCCAATGTGCAGCTTTCAAACATTCTTCCATTGTGTGGGTGACCTTGTCACACTGTTGGTCCTCTCCTTGACTGCGCAGCTTTTTGGTTTGATACAATCTTGTTTGTCGTGTCAGTTTTTGTGTTCATTACCAGTGCTTTTGGGCTTCTATCTGAGGGATCATCGTCCAGACTCAGGTTGTGGGGTGGTCCCTAGATGTTTTCCTGGAGAGCTTTGATCATTTCAAGTCTCACCTTTGAAGTCTTTATTCCATTTTGAGTTGCGTTTTACATGTGGTATAAGGTATTTTTGATTGTCTGTGTGTTGACATCGTGTTTTCCCCAGCACAGTGTATCGAGGAGACGTCTTTCTGCAACACGTTCTTTGCTCCTTATAGAAAGCCATTGGCCCATAAATCATAGCCTTGAGTCTGGGCTCTCCACCCCATTGCTGGAGGTGTCTGTTTTTCTGCGGACACCTTGCTATTACAGAACTGTAGGATGTTGGAAGTCCAGATTTGTTCTTTTTGCTCAAAATTGCTTTGGTCATTCAGGGTAAACACCTGAACACAGTATTTGTCCATATTCATGAGGCACAGAGTGCTATTTTGGCTCCTTTGTGCGTGGATAGTGATCTTGGGGTACTTAGCATAGTTGTCACCTAAGGCTTTGTCATTTGTATGTGGTGAGTACATGTGAGATACTTTTTAAAAAGAAGACACTCTTGGCTATAAAGTTCAGTTCTAACTTTATTTTCAACCAAAATGTTTCTGTTCCTGCTTTTATGAACTAGTAGACTGAAGAGTCTGTCTTGTTTGGGACTTTTTCTTTCTCTTGGTCCAAAATGGATGAAAAGAATAATTTATATTCTTTTTGAAGAGAAAATTCATTGAAACCGAATTTGGGCAAAGATTTCAGGATTTGGGGACCACTCAGAATTCTAGAGCAAGGATCAGAAAGCACTTTCTAGAGAGGCCTGTGGAGTAAATGCTTTCGGTTTCGCAGGTCATATGGTCTCTGTTGCACCCCTGCAGCACTGCTGACCTTAAGAGAAAATGACTGTGGTGAAGATACAAATGAACAATGGATGTGTTTCAATAAAACTTTATTTATGAAAATACATGGGGATGGCTACATGGGACTTAGCTTGCCGTCTCCTGATCTGGGCACCTCCGAAGTCAAGCTCTGTGTTTCGGGAGGAGCTAGCAGGTTAGCAAGAGATGCTGAGTGTTGAGCATAATACACAGATTCTTCCAGATTTGAGCAGAAAAGACCCATGTTTTCATTGCTGATGTTCTTGCTTTCTGTTTCGTTCATCAAGTTGCCTAAGAATGGATAACAAGGTTATGACTGATTGTTGGGGCTCTCGTAGCAATTGTGTAGCTGGAGAGTCCTCAGAAGTTAACCCCATGTGGTCTTAGAAAAATTTGAACATCAGTAGCGCCCACTGGACTAGAACTCACTATGTAGACCAGGCTGTCCTTGAACTCACAAAGATCCGCCTGTTCCTGCCTTCCAAGTGCTGGGGTTAAAGACATGTGCCACCGTACCTGGCCTCAGAGTTGTTCTTATAACTTAAGCTGGTCATAGATACCTATAAGCTCAGTAGCTAAGAACATTGGAAAAAATCAGTACTAATTTCATGTTTGGAGCCCTCTTTGACCATGAGAACTGTACCCAAGAATAACGGTGTGCTGAGGAATGAAGAACAAGAATCCAAATCTGCTTACAGACAGAAAATTAGAACAATAAATAAAATATTTTTAAAATTAAAAAATGATACATTGGGAACACTGGGCTTTGTTAGTTGGGGTGTGACTTACTGTGTCACCTACAGCAGTTATTTAACTGCTCCGAGCTTTGGTTTTACTTACTCGAAAATGCTTGTGATGCCTGCTCTGATTACCTCACAAGGCTGTGGCAATGTTCAAAGGCTGTTGAAGGTTTGGTGCTCTGTAAGTTGGAGAAACAATTTTGTTAGAAATAGTTGAAGTTACTGTGGGAAGAATAAGTGCCATGAAGCTCCATCTTTCAATATTAGTGAGGCTGTTGTTGGAGATGCAAAATATGTTCTTATTGTGTGGCAATTACACTTTGATAAAGTTTGTTGTTAATCTATAAGGGAAGAAATGTACCTATAGTCTCTTGTCCCTTTCACCCTTGGAGGACACCTCCCTCCTGGAGGTCCTGAAAATGCAGTGAGTTATAATTTGGGGAAAGGAACTTTTACCGAAAACATCCTGCACCTTTTAACTCTTGGCACAAGTCTTTATGTGACAGTATCTAGCTAGTGATGCCATTTTAAAAGGCAACAGGTATTGTTTGACCATCTTCCGAAAGGCCTGTTGGCTCATAGCAGAAAACTGGAGAAACGGCCAGGGAGCCTTGCTAAGGAGCAGGCTGTTCCAGCAGTTTTGACCCAGAGTCTGATCTCTTCCACAGGTCACTTGGCAGTTTACAACTGCTGAGAAGCTGGACTCGCCCTACTTGGGAATGCCACTTTGACTTCTGCAGGACATCTTTCTACAACCTCACCATGAGCCCAACAGCAAAGCATGTGTCCTCCAACTGTCTCTCTCCTAGGCTCTAGTGGTACATGAAAACTTGGCTTAGGCTGTAAACCAAAGAGTTTGTCCTGGGAAAGGGTACTTGCTCCTGCTTAGTTGACAAGGGACTCTGCCTAGCTTGGAGCCTGTCTATCGCATCACTGGAGATCAAGTAAGAGGCATGGGCTATGGCATGAGGTGAAGGGGTTCAGCGCTTAAGGGAATCATGAGAATCTAGCAGACAGGTCAGAGGACAGTGGACAAAAGGACAGAGCTTAGAAAATAATGTGTAGGTGTGGGTGAGGTATGAGATTTTCAGTTTCTTTAAGCCTGAAAAGAAATGATTCAATAACACAACGGGCTCTTCAGCTTGTACAATACTAGGTGATCACAGAGAATAGACCCAAGGGGTCATCAGCAAGGCTTCTCAATCTCAGGCTGTTCCCAAAAGCTTTGAGACTCCTGGGTCCCACTCTACCACCAAGGACCTGGGCAATCAACCCCATGGCATATTGTCAGCCTTGTCTAAGTGAATCAGGGAATTCTTATGAAATTAATGAAGTGGTCAGGAACGGACTGTATTTTAGGTAGAGTTGAAAGCAGTCACAATAATGATGTAACTGAATAAAGGGACGAATGATGAACTCTTTTTTAGGTATGAAAACAGCTACATTCATTTGTCAAAAGAAATATATGTGTGAACGGTGTGTGTGTGTGTGTGTGTGTGTGTGTGTGTGTGTGTGTGTGTAGCTTAAAAGTCTTGGTCCACTTGAAATTTAACTAACTTCTGAAAAATAAATGGAGTAAGCTTACACCCAAGAATGCCTGAAGACATAATTAATTATATACATTCATTTT